TTGTTATTGTTACTATTGTTGTTGTATTATTATTATCTATAATTTATACAATTAACCTCCATGTGGTTCGACCCTAGTCTTGCCGGGTTATTTATTACTTTGACACTCTTGTACTTGGAAGAACACATCAATATTTTAGTTATGTCAAGCATCTTAGATAATGTAAATATTACAGATGAATTAATTTTTTTAACACTTCTAGCTTTCGATATAAGGACTCAAATTACAAGTTTGAAAAGTTAACATGAGTTGACATTGCTCTTTTTTTTGTCATCATTTAAAATTAATTTTTAAAATAATGGATTTTTTTATTTTCTTCATTTTTTCTATCAAGTTATCTCGATCCTATGACACGGGTCGCGAGTTAGGTGGGTTAACTCAACCCTTATTACCCAGGTTACATGTTTGTCATGCTAACTCAAATTGACTCGAGTTTTTTTTTTACTTTTAATTTTATTTGTTCGTATTTAATTGGCTGAGAATTGAGTTAGATTTTTTTTTTGAAGAATAATTTTTTAAGTTATATTGATTATCTTTTTTATTTGGTTTATTTGTTGTTTTTTTATGATTTAATTAAAATAAAATTATTTTATTTAATCTAATCAATTTTATAACTCGAATAATAAATTTTAAAAAAACATAATTACAACATTTAAATATATTTATTAAAAAAAAAATAAGACACCGCGGGTTTTACCTCAAGAACAAAGCAAACATATTTGGCCAGAAAATATTTTTCAAAATGTGGCAATCACCGCAATTAAAGAGCTCTCAACTGGCAGGAAAGCCTCCTCCCCCACAAGAAGTCTAGTGTTAAGAAAAAATACCAAGGATTATACTTGATTACAACTATCCATTGTGATCGAGCTAAAGAAATCATGAAGCTCGTTACCTTTACAATACCATCCATAAGCAACCCTACTACAGAATTATCTGAACATGTTGAAGCTCGGTGCTTCAGTCAACAAAGAACATGATCAGGGTTAGAGATGAGCTTCTAGCCAAAATAATGTCTCTCCCTTACCACCAAAGTTTGTTGACTTCTAGATAGAATTTCACAATTTTTCCAGCCCACAATTTGGTTTGTTGTTGGCTATGTCATGTTAGCAAGAGATTCTCCATACCATTTGCTCATACCATGTGGACTCAAAACCACCCTAAAATCACTTCCCAAGCTAGGTTTTCCAGAACAAAATCATTTGGAAGATTGATCCACCAAAAACTTTACTCCTCGCAGCACTCTCAGCAATGATGCTTATGTAATTACTTATAGTCACTCTCAGTGTCAGTACGCCCACCACAAAGACCACGACTATATATAACCAACCTTTCTTCTCATCTTCCTTTGCCAAATGCCAACCAAATTTCAAACCCTGCCGTTAAGCCTCCCCCTTCCCTTCCAGCCAAAATAAACTCAGCCGGAAAAACCACCTGAAACCATTCCAGATGTCCGAACTACCCTTCCTACTCCTCTCCATTCTAGTCCTTCTTTCCCTACCCTTCAAAGTAATTTCCCAAGATGTCAACGCAGAAAAAACTATCCTCCTAAACCTGAAACAACAACTTGGCAATCCATCGTCCATTCAGTCCTGGAACTCATCATCCTCACCGTGTGAGTGGCCAGACGTGTACTGTGTCGAAGGCACGGTGACTGGACTTTATCTTGGTAATAAGAACATTACACGGACAATCCCAGCATCTGTTTGCGACCTGAAAAACCTGACATATCTCAGCCTGTATTGGAACAACATTCCAGGAGGATTTCCAAAACTTCTGTACAACTGTACAAAGCTTGAGGAATTGGACCTGTCTCAGAATTATTTTGTTGGTCCGATACCTGATGATATTGATAGATTATCAAGTCTCAGGTATCTATACCTTCAGGGTAACAACTTCACAGGCAATATTCCACCACAGATAGGCAGCTTGACAGAGTTGCGAACGCTGTTTCTGCACCAGAATCAGTTCAACGGTACGTTTCCTACGGAGATTGGTAAGTTGTCCAATCTTGAAGAACTGGCGTTGGCGTATATTGATTTTGTGCCCTCTTCAATTCCAGTGCAGTTTGGCCAGTTAAAGAAGTTGAGGTTCTTGTGGATGAAACTCGCTAATTTGATTGGTGAAATCCCTGAGAGTTTGAGCAATCTTGCAAGTCTTGAGCACTTGGATTTAGCTGGAAACGATTTGGAAGGTAAAATTCCTGGGGGGTTGTTTTTGTTGAAGAATTTGACTAATTTGTATCTCTTTAAAAATAAGTTGTCTGGTGAGATACCTCAGAGAGTTGAAACGTTAAATTTGGTGGAGATTGATCTTGCAATGAACCATTTGAATGGTTCGATTACAGAAGATTTTGGCAAGTTGAAAAAATTGCAACTTCTGAGTCTCTTTGAAAATCACTTGTCTGGTGAGGTGCCAGCAAGTATAGGCCTTCTTCCTGAGTTGAGAGCATTTAAGGTTTTCACCAACAACTTGAGTGGAGTCTTGCCACCAAAAATGGGCCTTTATTCAACACTTGAAGAATTTGATGTTTCAACTAATCAATTTAGTGGCCGACTGCCTGAAAATTTGTGTGCTGGAGGTGTCTTGCAGGGTGTAGTTGCCTTTGAAAATAATCTCTCTGGGCAGGTACCTCAATCTCTTGGAAATTGCAGCAGTTTGCGCACGGTTCAGCTTTACAGTAACAACTTTTCAGGCGAGATACCAGCAGGTATTTGGACAGCCTTCAATATGACTTACTTGATGTTAAGTGAGAATTCCTTTTCGGGGGGGCTTCCAAGCAAGCTGGCATGGAATCTGTCAAGGTTGGAACTCAATAACAACAGATTTTCCGGTCCAATTCCTCCTGGAGTCTCTAGCTGGGTGAACTTGGTTGTTTTTGAGGCGAGCAACAATCTGTTTTCTGGTGAAATTCCAGTGGAAATAACGAGTCTGCCCCACCTTTCAAATCTTCTGCTTGACGGGAATCAATTTTCAGGTCAACTCCCCTCCACGATACCATCTTGGAAATCTTTGACTAGTTTGAATCTCTCAAGAAATGGACTTTCTGGCCAGATCCCAAGGGAGATTGGGTCTTTACGTGACCTGCGTTATTTAGATTTGTCTCAAAACCATTTCTCTGGTGAAATCCCTCCTGAATTCGGTCAGCTGAAACTTATTGTCCTCAACTTGTCCTCCAATAATCTATCTGGGAAAATCCCAGATCAGTTTGATAACCTTGCCTATGATAACAGCTTCCTGGAAAATTATAAACTCTGTGCTGTTAATCCAATTCTAAATCTTCCAAATTGCCATACCAAACTTCGTGACTCAGAAAAATTCTCTTCCAAAATTCTTTCCTTGATTCTGGTTCTTACTGTGACCATTTTTCTAGTCACTATTATAGTCACCTTGTTTATGGTTAGGGACTGCCCAAGAAGAGAGCAAAAACGTGATCTGGCATCGTGGAAACTGACATCATTCCAGAGATTGGACTTCACAGAAGCAAACATTTTGGCAAGTTTGACAGAAAATAATCTGATTGGAAGTGGAGGATCAGGGAAGGTATACCGGATTGCCATAAACCGTGCAGGTGACTTTGTTGCTGTCAAGAGGATTTGGAGTAATGAAGAAATGGATCATAAGCTTGAAAAGGAATTTTTGGCAGAGGTTCAGATACTAGGAACCATTAGGCATGCAAACATAGTTAAATTAATGTGCTGTATTTCAAGTGAGAAATCAAAGCTTCTTGTTTACGAGTACATGGAGAACCATAGCCTTGATAGATGGCTTCATGGAAAGAAGAGAAGTTCATCAATGGGAGCAAGTTCAGTCCGTCATTCTGTCTTGGATTGGCCCACGAGGTTCCAGATTGCCATTGGAGCTGCACGAGGCCTATGCTACATGCACCATGACTGCTCCACTCCTATCGTTCATCGAGACGTGAAGTCCAGTAATATCTTGTTGGATTCTGAATTCAAGGCAAGAATAGCAGATTTTGGACTGGCCAAAATATTGGCTAAGCAAGGAGAGGCTCATACCATGTCTGCTGTAGCAGGTTCCTTCGGTTATATTGCTCCTGGTAAGAGCATTCGACAACCTCATAGTGCGTTGTCAAGTATTGACTATTCATTTTATTACAGAAGAATTTTGAAATCACACCATTTAAAGCTGCTTGTTTCTCATTTTTATCATTTTTATCGCAGAGTATGCCTATACAGCAAAAGTGAACGAAAAAATCGATGTGTATAGCTTCGGAGTTGTACTCCTGGAATTGGCGACCGGAAGAGAACCTAATAGTGGAGATGATGAGGATACAAGCCTTGCAGAATGGGCATGGCAGCAGTTTGGACAGGGGAAGCCTGTTTTTAATTGCCTTGACCAGGAGATTAAGGAACCGTGTTTCTTGCAAGAGATGACCGCTGTATTCAACCTAGGACTCGTTTGCACTCACTCTTCACCATCCAACAGACCTTCTATGAAAGATGTTTTGGAGATCCTGCGCCGATGTTCTCCGGATAATAACGGTGAGAAAAGGACAGTATCCGAGTTTGATATTGTTCCACTTCTGGGAAATGTTACTTGTCTTTCAAGTAACAGACGCAGTAACAGACTGTCAGATGATGATGATGATGGCAGCCTAGTTTACAGCGTATGATGTATGATGGCTCAGCCCCATTTTTTTTTTTTTTTTTTTTGAAATACATTGTACAAAGGAATAAAATGATTCCAGGTCTCTTCTCACAATCGAGAGCATCCCCTTATTTCTGATGTTCCGTGACGAAACGGCAACTCAACACCTTTAAATTCAGACCCTTGGTTCATTCCAAAGACAGAAGAACCAGATCTTATTCACTGGAGTGAGCCTTAAATGGTTGCTTGGGCATGTGGATATTATCTTGTTGAGTGCTAGTTGAAGTGAAACCCTTCCACAACACTCCTGTCCTATTTCCGACAGCAAGCTCAAACCCTAATACTTCTAAGAGACAGTATTGTGTGGCCACACGTGGTGCATGTTACAGCAGAAAAATCTACCAAATTCGCAAGGAACACAAGCCAAAATTTTGTCCACTTCCAAAGGTTGATGGATAGAGAACTTGCATCTCAAGAATTCAAGTATACAGAGACAAAACCCTTTACAAATCACACAGAGTTGATCCTGTTTGCAGTATAATTGATTCCAAATAAACATGAAAAACAAGAAACCCGCCTTCCCACGCCCACAAGGAAACAACAAATACAACTCTATAACAGCGCAAAAGGTCTTCAGAGCACTGGAATGCTGACAGCTTCTTGCTCCAGCAAGTTCACTGCTTCTTCCAACCACAGCAATATAACACACCCAAGACTTGGTCAAACCACTGAGATATTCACAATTTAATTCGTGGCTGACCTGTCCCAGTCCACATGATAGTGCCAAACACCAAGAACCCGTGACGAATGGCAGCAATTAACGTTTCACTTACCAAATCGCTGGTCCTCTCCTTTCTGAACAGTAATCTCATTTAATTGTTCCACCTTCCGAATTTTTATGCAGTTGACTTCAAACTCAACCTGCCAAAAAAGAGCCATGCAACAACCAAACAGGACAGCATAAAGATACCATGATTAACATAATGAAATTCAGGGTTTTAAACTGCATGCCTTATCATTGGCTTCTGCAAGGATTCTGACCTAGCACCGTCTTGAGAATTTACAACTTTCCCAATTGCAGTCTTCGGCTACATAATACAACATAAAGGCAAAAAGTTCAGTTAGCTTCCTGACAAAATATTGGAGGTACAAAATAAAGGGAGGGTTCGTGTATCTGAGCCTTGGAAACAAAACATGGTCAAGGTTCTTAAGCACAGTTACTGGAAACAAAGCACTTATAGTGGTGCAGGACCTGCCACCACATATGCACCAGTTAGGAGATAGATATTCTGTGCAAAACAATTAGCATGATGAGACTATCGAACAAGTATAAATTATAGAACCTTACAGTAGCTGCACAGAAAAAGAAACCTAGCATATACAATCACTCAGATGTTTCAAATTCATCTGCTAATTTAGATCTGCCCAATATAGATCTAGTTGTTGCATGGAAACCATTCAGCATTAGGTCCTGATTTTCTACTTGCAAGAACTACAAGGCTGGAGGTCTCTAACAGATTTCTGGAGTTCAAAAGCAAGATTCTCCTCAAAAGAAATTTCAGACAAGCAGTGTCATTGTTACAATGACCCAGTTCCATGGGGAGAGAATGGGGAAAGAAAGAAAGAAAGAAATGAACAGGCTACACGGTGGGTCAATGCAGAAAATTCTTCAACAAACAATAGTAAAGTGAAACAGCAATTTAGATTTTAAACCTCTAATTCCTCTGGCAAGCCTTTTTGCAACACTCGGTTCATGTTTAAACATCCATTTTCCAGAACCACATCCGCATCCACAGCACATACATTACCCTGCAAAGATCCCCAGTCTCACTATCTCCAGAACTTCCAGTATTGCCACAACCATCCGCTACAATCTTTAACCCAAAAACTTCAAACAGAATAACTCACCTCACAGTTGAGGTTCTGAGTGCCAGAATGTGACTTTATAACGCTGTCAGCATATTCTACAACAGCTGTCTGACAACATGGTTTGACAAGCTCTTGGTCAACCTCCACGGCTTGACTAGTGCCCGCTACCCAATTTAACAGTTTTCTGGAAGATCCACTCTCCATTATGTTTGAACCCAAACCTGCAATTTTGTCATTTACACCAGTCTCATGTTTTTCCCCAGTTTCAAAATTTTGTTCCATTGGCTCTATTCCATTCATATTATTAGCTGGTTCTAGCTCATTCCTAACTATCTTTGAATCATGTACATCCATAGAGATCTGTCTATTTAATGGCGAATCCTGATAGACAGTTTCACCAAGCTGCATGGCATCGCCCAAACCATCTTTTTCACTCTCCAACTGCCCACTAGATGACCTAACCTCAGAGTTGCTAGCAACATCTTTGCAGTTGCTACCAATGTCAATTGTTGAACACCCTAATTTAACACCTTCACAGGAACTAGCCAGAGATGTCACACCAGACCTACTAACACTACTGGAAGGAGAAACAGACTGAGGTCTTATTGGACTATTTAAAGCCCGTTTCTCTGGCTTCAAATCCTCCATTTCACAATCATTTTTCCGCTTAACAGGTCTCTCAGCAGACCCAGACTGAGATCTTGCAACATCTTCACCAGTTTTGCTAGTGTGCTGGTTAACATGCCGTGATGATCGAGATCGCTTGTACCCATCAGGGAAAACAAAGCCTGGAAGCTGCCTTCTACGAACATGAGAGACATATATTTCCATCCCTGGTTTCCAAAACATGTACATGTTTATTTCTTGCCTAAACTCATCAACAGTTCCCCGGATATCAAATTGCTGGCCCTCCTGACTGGTCACTCCCTCTTTCCTCTGCAAGCCCATGAAGAAAGCACAATGTGGGCATTGCTTGGATGCATCTATATACTCATTTGGATAAGGATGGCACTGCAGCATCCCATTGGTATCCCGCTCTATCTGTGAATGAAACATGGAAAGGACAATTAGTCAAGCACAGCTGTCATACTTTGTTGGATCTTTTTGTCTTCAAAAAAAAAAAAGCATTTGCCACTAGGTTAGAAAACATGGCCAAAAACTGAGAGAAGTGAGTTTGCAACAAGAGTATAAAGGTAAGATGTGTACCTTCAAGGTAAGTTGTCTAAGCCGAGACTCTACCCAGCCTTTCCACGCTAGCAAATCAGCAGCAACAGCTGCAACTATGTCAACTTGCAGGTAATTTTTGTATGCCTCAAAGAAAAGATAAGGCTCAAAAAGAGCACTCCACTGTGCCTTGTTCAGTTCAATCTCCTGCAGAGAGAACAGAATGACAAACCAAAAGGCATCAGTAGCATGACGCAGGAAAGTAAAGGAGAAAAGGTTATTACTTGTACTCTCACCTCACATATCCTGTTACCACTTTGGAATTGCTCTGTCATAACACGAAGAGTACTTGTAGACACATTGTAGCTAGAATTCATGCAAGGATATGCAGGAGTTATTATTGGCATATGATGAAACCGGTCTCGAGGATTTTTGCGAGGATCCCACACAGGAAACCCAAGCGCATCTTCTTCTATTGAGCATAGCATCACAGGATTCGGCCAACGCCATTGTGTATAGACTCTGAAGAACCGAGAGACTAGCATACTAGGAATTGCATTAGGATAAAGCTGGCACACTCGAGCAACTAGAAGAGCCCAGTTTACTCCACCAAGGAAACCAGTGACCTACACATTTAAGGAGATGAAAACCATGAATGGTGTGAAATGGCAATTGCAGTGAAATAACTCATCAAGATGCCCAATCTTACATTTGAATAAACACCACGCCTTTTAGCCCAGAACTTCAGACATCTGAGTGTTGTCCGAAAGTGCTACAATATTTGTAATGGTCAAATGACTGTCAAATCACTGAAGCACTTGAATAAAGTAATTTAAAAGAAAATGGCAAGTCACCTCGACATTTGGAACAAGTTTAAGAATTTGATCAGCAACCCTGCACCCATTTAGACTTCGAACAGTTTGCTCATCAACTTCATAGAGCACAGACCCATTGGAGATGTCCAGGTCCTGTTAATAAGTTAGATCCAGATCAAATGGAACAAGCAACAAAATCAGTACTAGCAATTTTAAAATGCATCAAATCATAAAAAGGAGAAACTCCAGAGTCCAGACTTAGCTACCAAAGCTCATGACAGGAGAAAAACATAGTAGAACTTGAAACTGACAAGCCCAAGTCAGCTAAGAAGCATTAGATGAACAAACAATATGCCGCATAAGCTGTGCTACTGGCTGTTAAAAGGCAACCCCATCAACAAAATCCATGCAAAACAGGAGTAAAGTATATATATAATAATCCTCTTCAAAGATATTATACAAATACCTACAAAACTGTCATCCTACATGCACTTAAAAGTATTTGCTTTTGGTTATGGTTATAGTAGAAAGGGAAGGGAGAAGTGGGTCTCAACCTCAAAAGTGTACCAAAAACACAAAAAAGGGTTCTCTAAATATTAAAGTGTATCTCAAATCATAAAAGAAGAAATGCTAGACTCCAATGATTGCCACTAGGGTTAATTTTCAATAATAAGAAAAATAAGGAGGGGGAGTGGGAAGAGGGACTAAACCATAGCAGCATATAAATGTTAAAGTGAGCTTAAATAGTTTGAGGATCCCATACATTCATACCATATGCATGAAATGGATATTTCAAAGACTGGGGAGCTTACTTCTGGAACAACCAAAAGGGATATACTTGCATAGAGAAGGTCAATTGATATTCCCTGGAATTTAAACTTCATAACTGGGACATGAGCATCTGGAACTGGCTGAAGTTCAGTAACTTCTTCCATTTCAGCCAGTTTATCATGCAAGGTAATAAAGAAATCTTCCTGAAAAACAACTTAGAGTGTCAGTCAAGATACCCTAGAACTAAAAGAAAATACACCACATTCACGCATCACCTCTCGATTCACGTAAGAAGGCCCAACGCACAAGGTGTCTATGTCAGCCCCAGGACCATGCACCTGTTAAAATAGTAATCATTGCCAACGATGCAAACCAAGAAAGAGATTAGATCACTGAAGTAACAAAAATATAGGATTGCAACATATTTAGAAACAACAGCCTAAGAACTCTAGTGTCCTTTTGAATGCTTTCAAAAGAAAACCCACTTGTTTCATCTGGCAGACAAGCCTGCATCCTTCAACCACAGTATGGGCCAGGGATTGACTACCCCCACACAAAATGAGTACTGATTGCAACTCAACCCCAGAGGATTTGAGTGAGACAGAACAAAGCAGTTCAGCAGAGAACCACCTGTCTAGGTAATTGCTAAGGACACACTTGCTGCTAGATGGTTTGAGCAAGACTATAAAAGATTCATGCTAAGGATACATTTGCAGCCAGGTGTCTTAAGCAAGACTATAAAAGGTTCGTGCTTGGGATAAGAGGTCATCCATAGCGACAATTTCCTAACTTTATCACGACTTCCATTCTCTAATTTGCTAATATAATCGCAATTTCCTATTCAGCTAAAAACTACACATTAGCAACCCAAAAGCACATTCAACCACTCATATAACTCCTCATATATAACTACAGAAAACCAAAAAGAAACAAAGAAATTGATCTCAAATGCAACAAAAATAATATAATAAAATCACAATAACTCACCCCAAGACGGTAAGACCCAAAAGTAAAAATAACAGCATTGGCTTCCTCTACCATCTGATCAGTATATCCCCTTTGACGCGTCAATTGCTTGACCCAATCTTTCACAATCTATACAACAACAACAACAAATCATCTAACTAATTAAAAAAACACAAATCAATACCCATAATTTATGTGATCATTACCTGATCGATACGGCCTAGAACCTCTTCTCTCTTAATAGTTTCATCTTTGCTCTCGTTTAAGCCCGAGTCAACCAAAAACTATCAATAAAATCATTGCAAATCAATAATAAGTAACCTTAATTGAAAAAAAAAATTATAAACAATTGCCAATTACCTTCTCTAATTCGGCATTTCGATGGAGATCAGGTTCAGTGGGACCCGCGACGGATATGGGTTTCGTGATTCCGTACCTCTTCGCCGCCGTACCATTTGAACTCTGAGAACCCACCATTCCGATTTTCCTATGAAAAAATAAAATAAAATAAAATAAAATAACAAGATTGAAATAAGGAGAAGATTAACAGGTCGATAAGAATTTTTTTATTTTTTATTAAAAAACCCTAATTTGAAGTTGATAAAAAACTGAGGATTGTTTAAGATGTGAAGAAAAGTCGGCTATAAAAATTGAGAGAGAGAGGAAAGATCTGGAGAGAGAGGGGGGAGGGTGGGGAGAAAGGAGGAGGGATCGGTGGGCTAAGGGGGTGTTTGGGGGTAAGAATCTTACGATATTTGTTAGGGAATAGGGATGTTTACTTAGAATTTTTTACATAAATAATTATTTATTAGTAACAGACAAAAATACAGCGCAGCACGCGCTTTAATATTCGTCCTCTTTTTTTCTTTTTCTTTTTTTCTTTTTTTGCATATCATAGTACAATTTGTTTGAATTTGAGTTTTTTAAATATTTTATTTTTTATTTAAAATTATTTTTTATATTTTTAAATTATTTGAATAATACTGATATCAAAAATAATTAAAAAAATTAAAAATATATTATTTTAATATATTTTTAAAAAAATATTTTAAAAAGTTATATTTATTATATTTTTAAATGAAGCAATTGAAAGTATTACTTTTTAAAATATTTTTATTGAAAAATATATTAAAATAATTTTTTTAAAAAAATTATTTTTAATATTATCATATCAAAAATTCAAAAATATAAAAATTAATTTTATTTAGAAATTTCATTTGAAATGCAATTCTAAATGGTCTCTTAATAAGAATTAAATTAATTAATCTAAATTTAAAAATAATAAAAATGATATTTTTTTTAGTGAGAGTAATTATTTCATATTTGATTAGATATAATCTTGAATTTATTGTAAGAATGCAATTGAATTGGATTACTGTTTAACATTGTTGCAACCTTAAGTTATTTTTTAAAATACTTTTAATTAAGGTAATATATTTTTATTTTTAAAAAATAATTTTTGATATTAGAATACTAAAATAATAAATTAAATTTATATATATATAAAACCCGCACAAGCCACGGAAACAAACACATAGGCCGGTCAATGAATAATTAGTATTCAAGTATAGGAGGAGCTCCCTCGTGTGGGTTCATGATTCATCAAATTTTTAGAGGGCAAAAATCTAGCATTGCAATTGTACTTGGTTGTAAATTTATAGTAAAAAACGCTAATAGAAACCGGTTTAAAAAACACTTCAAAGAAGCAAGTCCCAAAAAGGGAGCATTTTCGCTTTAAAAATTAATAAATTAAAAAATATATATATTTGAAATTGTTTATCATATATCAATATATTTTTCATGATACAGTCTAAAAAATACATTTCAGAAATCTTTTTATCAATTAAAAATGATTTTCAATGTTTCACATCAAATCATACATAAACTTTAAAACATATATAACACAAACTTCAATGATATACTAATTATTTTACTTATGTTCTATTATGGGTTGAATAATTTTTCAATAAAAAAATTAAATATATAGGTTTTTTCAACATATTGTTTACATAAAAATATCAAGTATAAATTAAAAAAATCTATACATGCATCTAATTAAATAAATTGATAATTATTTATGTTAACAAATAAAAAAAATCATTAACGATAATTAAATGCATATCTAGAATAGTTAAGAAGCAAAAGCATATGAAAACATTTGATATCATAACATAGTACAATTACTCAATTATGTTTAAAGACTTTATTTATTAAAATAAATTTTTTATTTAATTAAATAATAGTAGAAATAGACACACACAAAAATTGATTACATAAATTCAAAAGGAAAATAATCTTGCATGTTGTATTTATTAGAAAATTATCAAAAAATAATTTTTTATTTTTAAAAATAAATTTCAATTATATAAAACATAAAAAATAGACATATTAGAAAAATCTATTCAAAAACTAAATACACACAAAATACTTAAAAAATCACTATTTCAAAAAATACATGTAAAAATAAAAAATTAGAGAGAATTGATATAAATTAAAAAATTATATAAAAAACACTTGTAATAAAGCATGATCTTTTTAATACAAAAATGGAGGGCCAACCAGAGCATGGGTCTATTTTTTAAAATGTAATAGGGGTAGATGACATAACTTTAAAAAATCATCTTAAAACCTAAAAGCAACCTGAAATTCAGAACTTTCCAACCTCATATCTATATTTTAGTCACTCTCAAGGTAAAACAAAAAACATAAGTTGATCCTCTTATCAAATAGAATCATTTGACACAGAGATCAACTATTTTGGTGGCTTGAATCGATGCCAATAATATTTTTCTCTTTATGGTAAGAATCTGTCAATCTCTTTTTCTCCTCTCTCACACCAAGGACTAATAAATAACAAAAATAGATTTTTAAAGCAAAATTGAATTAAAAAAATATTAAGGGATCAAATATGTATAATTTGAAAAGTTCAAGAACCAAATTACATTTTTGTGTGAACTGTGAAATCATCACTTCTTTATTGCACCATTTCTACTTTGGTCCTTTATCTTTCAATTTTATCCTTGGTCAATAAATTTGATTAAATTGTTCTTGAATTTGGCTTAAAAATGATGCAACCATGTAAAAAAAAAAAAGACATGGGTGCTACTGATGCAACTATATTATTTGATAGTTTCACCTATATTTAACTAGTGTTTAGCCTATGTTATATATGTAAAATGCCTTGATATTCTTTGTTTTATATTTTGAAGGTATTTTTGGACGAAAGATGCAAAAAGGAGTAAATTGGAGGTAATTGGCAGATTTGACGTTCAATAGATATTTTGTGCAGAGCGTGAGTTCTAGAGATCAAAATGAAGTGATTCCAATGGCAATAAAAAGCTAATATCCATACCTTTCTGGAAATCTAAGTTAAGAAAAATAAAAAGACAAAGAGTATGGAAATCACATCCTTCAAATTCAAATCTCGCATTTTGCCAATATTGACATTTGGTCATTAAAAATTCAATATCTGGAGCTTCAGAAGTCTAATTGATGCAAACTCAATTTTGGATTCCTGACTCAAAGACCTAGAAACTCTCCAACTTTAAGCCAAATACGATGTCAGATGAAGGAGATATGATTTTTCAAAAATAACAACTGAATTCTACCAGCAAACAGGTTTCGTGAAGAAATGAGTTCAAATTACGTTCTGAAGCTTCTAAACTGTCATCCAAGTTGTAATTTCAGAAATTTAGCCCCTCTAGTAAATCAATTTAGAAGGTCAAGGAAGGTAGCCACCAACCTCAAACTAGCTGCAAGTTGGAATATTGTTAAAGAAGATGGCTTCCATTGTCAAAGAAAGAAGGCCAACTTGTGAGAGTAAAAAAGGGCTGTTGGTGCAGCATTTGCAGCCTCTTGACATTGTCAAAGAATGAGGCTACAATGGTGGGTTGTTGGTGGCAGCTACTACTATCAAAGTTTAGCAAGTTTGGCAGCCATCACTGTTAATAAAGGAGCAAGAGAAGTTGTCATTGAAGCCTATAAATAGACACCAAGAGAGCCAAGAAAAGGAGAAGAGAGAGTGCAGTAGAATCAAAGAAAGGAGGTAGCAGCTAGAAGTGAAGTGATTAGTACTTAAAAGTGCATTCTCATTAAGGATATATGTCATTATATTGCACCTAAAGTATCATTAAATTCCCTAACAAACATGTTTTATATTAGCAAGTCTAAAAATATAATATACCTTTAATTCATGGTAAATGTCCATCCTAAATACAGGTCCATCATATAAATAAAAGGATTGATTGATGAGTTTAAGTATTGAAATTGAAAGGACAAAGAGATGGCCAAACTTAGCAAAGTGTTGCTGGTGCATTCCAAACTCGAACATTGTTTGGTAATTGGATCATATCTGGAGTTGTAGATATTGGATTTAGGTCCATTTTATATGGATGGAAAGGTAAGACATAGACCTACAACTTTCATTGGACTCAAAGACTCAATTCTGCCATTTTCAAGTTCAAATCTTAGCAACAACAAAGATGTCGGAAGTTGTCCTGCAGCTCAAACACTATTTGGTTTTTGGCTCATATCTTGAGTTCTAGAAGTCCAAATGAGCTCTGGTTTTTTTGTTGGAAAATTGAGACAATTGCCCACAACTTCCATAATTCAGTTGGCTATAATTCTGATATTAGAAATGACGTTTTGGCCAGCCAACAATATCAATAATTAGCCCACAATATCAAAAAAACAGTAGCCACTAATGTCAAAAACCAGCCACCAAATCAATGGATGGCCACCAATTATTCAATCAATCAATAGTTCTGAATTTTAGCCTATAAAAGGAGGCATTTGCCATATATTTAGTCATATTAATTTTCAGATCAAAGTTATATTCTTGCTTTCTCTCTACATCTTTGTAATGTTCAAGTTTTCTTTCATGCTATAGTAATCTCTTATTTATGTTCTTTCATTTCTTTTCCTATACTTAGTTAGCTTATATTATGTTTATGTTCTTTCATTTCCTTTCCTATACTTAGTTAGCGTATATTATGTTTATGTTCTTTCATTTCTTTTCTTATACTTAGTTAGCTTATATTATATTTATGTTCTTATATTGTTTATTTATGTTTTTCTCCTTCTTAATATTTAGCTAAGTTAATTATGTCAAGGTGAAAAGGTTTCTCTAATGGTGTTAGAATAGGTATAATATAAACTCAACATGGACTTTAATGTTTATATCTAAGAAAGATTGTTATTAACATGTTTTATCTTTTTATCTTACTAATTCTTAATACCTTACTTATTAAATGGTTAATCTAGATTTATGTTGTATAACTCTTGGTACATCAAATGCTTGATCCTTCGTAGTCTTCGGTCGACATCATTATTATGATAGGAACTTAATTTGTTGTTAACATAAACTAGCAACATAAATGCCTGATGATATTTATAACTATGGTGTTACTTAGATAAGATGATTAATATGATCATGTTAATAATTTATAATGAGCTAATAACGATTTGTAATTCATATAATTCACTTTCCTGTGGTTCAACCCCAGTCTTGTCGGGTTATTTTACTTTGACACTCCTGACACGACGAAAAGATTAATGTTTTCTTCCAAGTGCAGGAGTGTCAAAGTAATAAATAACCCGGCAAGACCGGGGTCGAACCACAAGAAGGTTAATTGTACAAATTATAAATAACAATAATACAACAACAATAAAAACAGTAACAACAACAACAACAATAGTAATAATAATAATAATAACAATAACAATAACAATTATA